AATAGGCTCAAATGTCGAAAGTTTGCCTTTCACTATCTAATTGAACGACGGAAACATTCTTTTATCCTTCACCGTGTTCATTAATTCTCTCTCGCTATAGTTATTAATGCATTATGTATATATTTGTTTCTTTTTTTTTCTTCTGTTACTCTACTCCTACGAACAAAATAAAAAAAAAAGAAAACTTTGGAATCGCTTGATTTATGAAGTATATAAAGAGTAAATGAATTTTTAATTGAATGATATAAGATTTTTAGAATGAATAAAAAAAAGAAAAGTTAAAAATTACGACAACGATTGTTTTTTGTTTGTCTCGATGGTGTATAGTATCAAAAGACTTCGTTAATCAGTGTTATATGTTGATAAAATCCAATAGTCTTTTCTCAAAGTTCTAATTCTAAGATCCGCGTACACAATATTACTAAATATACTTGAAAAAGTTCTAATCAAGCATATACGAATGTGAACAAAAAAAAAAAAAAATACATAAAACTTCTGTGTAGTTTTCCGTAAATTTTTTATAAATTTCTTTGTTTTCATTTCAGAAGATTAGTTTTCTATGCATGAAAAATTTCATTGATCATTTATAAAGAGTAAGAAGCGTCTTTTTGAAATAATACCGAGCAATCAAATCGAAAAAAATTCATGTTATCTTGTATAACTATATAAAAAACAGTTATATGACTAATATTTCAGATCCTGGTTGAATTAGTTATGCACAAAACATGGTATTACATATTGAACTTAAAATATGAGTCAAGCCTAATCACTAATCTTTTTTACACAGATAAATTATCACATATCAATGTGAAGAAAAAAGTAAAGTTCATGTAGGACAAGTACTTTTTCGTATTCAGCACACTCGACAGACTAAAAGATTTTATTTTTTTTTTGGCAACGGATATTATTAAAAGTTTAGGGAAATTTTTCGAATAAAATGGTAAAATGAAATTTCCATGGAGAAAATAATTAGTTATTATAATTAATATGGTTATTAGTTTCGATATTTGTCTTAATATGTCTCACCAAAAATAGAAAATCTTTTGGACTCTCGAGTGTATTGAATAGGAAAAAGGCATTTGCTGCGACTCGGCATAATTTTTATTTTTTCTTCGATAATATGTCGTACGTGCAATGAATTTTGCTCGTGTATTATCACTCAACTCTGAACGTCACATTAGTCAATATTCCATTTCTTTTAGTCTAGTGACAAGGTTTTATGACTGAAGTGTTTCATTATCAACTTTTGAAGAATAAATTGACCGTTCAGTTATACATGTATGCTATTTTCAATAAAGATTAATAGTCTAATTTATACCTTTGTTAGCTATACACTTTAGAGTATATTCAGTTCTTCTATATTTTTTTCTAGAAAGACCTTAACTGAAACCCGTCTCTTTATTCCTGGTAGAAATTTTTGTTATGTGCACTGTCGTTTAGCTGCTCAATAAACATGCAACATCTCTTCTCTCTTTCTCTCATCTCGTAATTAAAATTCTTAATTTAGTATCAAATCGTATTACACTGAATATGTTTCTTCAATCAACATATCCTCATCTTAGAACATGAACAAATTTTAGTTTAACTGACGAAATTATTGCGTGTTACATCTCTATTTTCTAATGACATTGATGCCGCTCACACACACACACACACATACACACAAATCTTTTATTCTTCTTCGTTCTCGTTTTTTAACTTTCATATAACGTTATTCACATAAGAAATCTTACCAATTATGATATACTATGCATACACAGAGAGAAGATAAATTGTACAAATAAAAAAATTGATGGAATTCTACAGAGAATAACAACTATAAAAATAGTGGGTAATATCTTAATTTACGACAATTGTTAGCTTAGAATGAGACAAAACATTCAGCTAGATAGCGTGTAATCACAGATAATAGTCAGAATAACATAAAAAGTTCAGAAATAAATAAGTAACTTACGATATTCTACTTATCTCAGAAGCCACGAAATAATATTGTATTTTGCTTGGGAAATAACTTCAAATCTATTTTTAGAGATCTTTACTTTGAAGAGAAAATTATGAACTTAAAGATAACAAATACTATGCTTAAGTTCCTAGTTTTCTCTGTTAAAAATTAATATAGTACATACATCTCAGCTGAGTATAGACGTCAAAAGTCTAGTTATAAACATTTCCACTGTAGAGATATAGATACCACAAGAAACGAATGTTTAATTTCACGGAAAAATGATTTTCATTCTTTCACTTTTTCTCATACTTCTTTGAAGAAGAAAGCATTCAAAATAGAATGAAAAATGTCTAAGTCTAGAAACAATCAGACGAATTATTTGTAAAATTAACTAAGCTACAAGTCGTGCATATTACAGTATCTTCCGTTTCTTCACACATTTTATTGTTTAACTAAAATGTTCGTTATTTTTCGTCATACAAATTATGAACGCATAATTAAATTATCATCAAAAACTTATTTGCTTGCTTAAAAATATTTCTAGCGCTTGCTACACTATTTTAGAAAAACTATGAATAAGCAGATGATAAAAGAATGTCTGCCTAGATTTTTCTTCACTTCTTATTTGGCAACTACAAATGATATATCTGGCTTTTTGTTTCAAACGTTGCAGAAATACACGACTTTATCAAAAAATTCAAAACTCAGAACAAGAATGGAAAGTCCTTTCTGCCTTGATGCAATTTTTGCGACAAAGGCGTTGTCCAAGAAATAAGATTGAACTTGTTTCATAGGCATAATATTCTAACTTCTGGGAAACCTTTCGAACAGATTTCTCTAGTGACTTTATTGAGAACTTTTTATTATATTTTTATAAATGTAGACACAATTACTTCAGAGAAATTAGTGTCTGATTCATGACAAACAAATTTCATGTACTCACCAAATCAAGATGGATTGATGGTGATAGTACTACTGAAACATATTCCGTGGATAAAATCGTCAAAACATGGAATCTCAACGTTTTTTTTATCCAATAGATGGATGTAAATGTTTTTCCGAATTATAGGAGACGATTCTTTTTCTTGTCATTATTATTATTATTATCTTCAACTGTTATGGTTAGCCGAAGAGAGAGAAAGAGAAAGAACTTTAGTTTAGGAAATAGAAATATAGAAAAACGAGAAAAAAGTGACTTTAAAAGGAAAGCAGAATAAAGAAAGATAGGAAAAACTCAAAGGAGAGATAGAGAGCATAGTAAAATCAACCATCACACGAATTATATGCTTAATGAGGCTAATATAGAGTTATCATTTCCTCTCTTCTTCTCTATCTAGCGACGAGGTCTTTCAAAAATATGGAACTCAATTTGAAAAGAATAAAAGTGAATACCACTAATGTTAGAATGTGGCTCATTCTTCACTATATCATAATCATGATCGAAAAACGACTGTTCTATAAATGAAAACAAAAAATGTACAGATGATTCAACCATTTCGAGTTCAAATTGTCTTTTTGCTGATATTACATACAATTGATTATGCTAGAACTGTCGCTGTTAGTCCCCATATTTTGAATCTGATATTGATAAAAGCTTGATTATCGAATACTCACAACCTAATCTAATGATATAGAACTGATAATATATAATTCTCGGCTACCGATACCTACCACCAACGAAGAAACATGCAATTTCATTCCATTTTGACCAGCTTTCTCCCATTTTTGTGAACGACTCCTATAATTTGAGGGTATCTTTTAGTTTCTGTAACACCCAAACATTGTTTTTTAAACGCCATATCATCTGCAAACGGCGAGTCGATTTCTTGGAACTAATCTGATACAAAATGTGTGTCAACCTAAACTCAGTTCAGAAGCTTAATTTATGCTAAAGTAGAATGTATGTCAAACTGCTCGCTGATGTAGAATTTTAGCGTATCGTGAATCTTTGTTCGCTATAATTTTCTAGACGAAATGTTGCATGACTTCGTGCATTTCGGGTTCGACTATCAGTACAACATACCTTTTCTCGATCTTTCAGGTGACATCAACTGTTAGTATTTACAAAACAATTTTGGATTTTATAGTGTACAAAAAGTCATAAAGATAAGTTTTTCACGACGGTTTCGTGAGTGATATATAGCACATTGCAACATGGTAATGCAATTTTTGTCTAAATCCTATATCCGTGTAAGATGCTTCATCTGACGCAATTCGTGTGATCGACTGTGTACATACTGTTCCGAAGGTGGCAGTCTTGAATTCTTTTTCTAGAGTATGGGAATACATATTGCTGCTCCAACGATATGAGCCTGTTGGATGCACAGTCAAACGCAAATAGCCGATGTTAGTAACAACACAACAGAATCAGAGACAAAAATCACTTTTTGTGAAGGACTCATACTTAATTACAAAATTTTAATTTTTCATTTCAACAAAAATTATTCATTTCTTGGATGTCACAAAGTACTTTTCTAAAACATAAGATATGTAGCACCATCTATATTGGCAGACGGCGTGATTAATTACGAATCGTGAATGAGTTTTTCTCAATTACTAACCGAGAAAAAAACATAAAAAATCAAATAAGGTGGTTTTCCAGACGTAAATTGAGCATTTTCCTACTTAAGTGTTTGAAGAGAGAAAAGATTTATGTGACAGCTGACTTCATCATGTTGAAAATATTTGACCAGTTGTCAAAAAAAAAATGTTTTCTATAATCATATTTTCTTTCCTGTACAATGACTTTGAAGAGAAGATGTGAATATATATGACTATATCTATCTATCTATTATCTAAAAGCAGTTTGACACATCGTCGTACGTACTTTCATTCTGCATAATGTATACTGATTTATTGGCTTAAACGCGGTAATAGTGAACACTGTACTAAAATGAAATATCCTACCATTTTTCTACAGTAGTCAAACGAACAGCAACGTCTGAAATTGTATATTATTTCTTACTCTTTATATAGAAAATAAACACATAAAAACTGGAAATTTGTGAACTAAAAGTACTTTAAGATAATTGACGTACTTTTCAGTTTTTATTCCATGCCTAGTATTTTGTGTGCATGCTTTTTCTGTTTTAGACACATAAAAACTTTGATTATTTAAGAAAACATTTCTGTATTTATTTTCAGACATGTATCAATTATTTTTGTTGCTAACATCTTTGGCAGTTCATTTATGTATTGGTCAAGAAATATGTTCGTCTGTTAATTGCGTATTGCCTTCTTGTATGTGTTTGACAACGAAGCATCCCATAACACAGGATGTCAAACAACTACCTCAATTAGTGAGTGTATTGATCTATGTTCTATGAATAATGCAATTCTTATTGTTTTTTCCAGATACTATTGAGTTTTGTTGGAGATCTAAATAAATACTCATTGGATTCGCTCCGATCAATACTGAATCCTGTTCATCGTAATCCAGATAAATGTCCAATATCAAGTACATTCATTGTTAATGATAAGCATACAGATTATTGCTTTGTACAACGTTTATTTGACAATAATAATGAAATAGCTATAACAGCGGCAAGTAACAAGTAGGAATACCTGCTAATCTCTTTCTCGCTGATATTTTTCTTTCATTCATTTCGATTTATGTTAGATGTCCATTAACGAACTGTTATGGTGAAAGCTCATGGCATAAATGGGATCATGATCAATGGACTAATGAGATTAAAACACAACGTGAAAATATAGTCAGAAAAGCTCAGATTCATTATTCACATATCAAAGGTTTTCGCGTGCCTCATTTACAAATTGATGACAAACGACATTTACATGTTATACGAGATTTTAGTTTTAATTATGATTCATCAATGATCTTTGCACGGTCTAGACATGAAAATCGAGAAAATATAACATTACCCGTATGGCCATTTACGTTAGATTATCAAATTGGCAATAAAGACTTTTTGTGCGAAAATTGTGGTTATGAAAAAATAACAACGTTTCAAGGACTTTGGGAATTTCCCCTACATCATTGGCATGATCCGAATAGTAAGAGAATTTTATACGCTTAATGCATTGTTACTACTTTTCTTCTTTCAGTTAACGTAAAATGTCATACATTAGCGGATACATCTCGATGCTTTCCAAATGGTGAAACAGTTGATTTGTTGTATGAACTAATGATTTATAATTTTAATTTGCATTATAATTTTAATCGTGCACCATTAGTTATTGAGCTTGATCTAGTTTGGCTATATGATAATGATCAACATTTAGAAGTGATTATTCGTTTTATTAAACATATAATAAAGATAAATAATGATGATATTTATTTTGTTTCAATTTCACAAGCTCTTGAGTGGATGAAATATCCTCGTTTACTCAATGAAACAAAAGATTTTTGGGCATTTCAGTGTGATAGAATGAAATACGATTATGATATTAAATGTCGTGATGGTTATAATGATGATAAGAATCAAATAGAAAATCCTTTATCAAAAAATTCGTCAAATACATTAGAAACAATCGTCGATTATCAAGATGAACAATTGTTTCATGGTGGACTTTTATTTCATTGTATATGGATATGTTTAGTCTTAGTTTTATTAATTATATTCTATGATAAATATTTGTCCAAATAAAACAATAAACTGTTCACTTTTTCTTGTAGATGTTTTTGTTCAGTAAGATTGTTTGTTTTTTAAAAGATATATTTTAGTACTAAGTTTGAACACTCAATAAGAGAGCAATATTAATTAAAACATTTCACTTAGAAATGGAGATCGCTGTTTGAATTTCTCTTATACTCTCATTGTAGATGACCTGGTAAAAATGTCTGAAATTGTGTATTTGCAAGCCCAAAAACATGATGACATATTCAGGATGGTTGTGTCGAAACGTGGCTTCTTTGTATGTGAATGAGATCATTATTAAATATAATAATGTTCATATCAAATTGTTAATGTAAGTAAGAATTATTATTTCATGAAAAATATGAGATAGAAAGTATGTAAAGTTGAATTTTGAGTGAGTTTTGTGTGATAAAATGAGAAAAGTTAAATGATAACCATACGAAAAACACTATTGATCTAAACATTAGGAGTTAAAGAATAATAAATGAGTTAAACATAATCATCGCTGTATAATAAAATATGTTTTAATGATATTAAAGATATATTTGATGATCTATTGTATTCATGCCAGTCACTGAATCATGTAGCGAGTAATCTATTCAAATCGGCAACGCAAATGTGTTGATACAAACACAAAACATAATATGAAATATTAGATTCTATGTTGCTACTAGAGGTGAACGAAACGGTCTCATCTTGTAAAATTTTACGAGACAAGACAAAACGAAATGAGCTTTTTTTTTCTTTTTTTTGAAACAAAATTCGTTCTTTCTCAGCACATCGTTTGAAACTAATGGCATTTCAACAATTGATTACTAAAGCGCAGAGAGACTTTCATTTCTTTTTCGTTTCTTTTTTATATATATATTTTTTTTTTTGATGTGATAAGCAGATAAAATGACAATAATTTTCCTTATACGAGATGATACGAAATAGCTTATGAAACTTTTTTCATATACGAAACGAAAATTTCTTCAATTGACTGTAGAAAACTTCTCATGAGAAGAACAAAAAAATTTGATGAGACGTTCTGATATCCTGTCTCATCCGCCTGTGATTTCTACCATCAAGAAGACAAAAATAGCTTTGAAAGATGATTATAAAATGGATGAGAATTTTGGAACACTATTATTAATTGAATTGGTCATTCTCCAGTGGCCAAACAATTTTTTCATTAAACATAGTTATACTAGCTCGAATATGCTGATTATGAATATATTATCCATTGCATTTCATAGATAATTCTTAAGCGGATGTGAAAAGATCGATATTCGGAAAACTAAAAAAATTTTGAACCAAGATGTAAGAGGATCTCCTTTTATAGAGCACGTCAAAAGGAGATAAGTGTATGAGTTTGTTTAGATATAAAAAATGTTTTAAAGAAGTAAAAATTTTGTTAATTAGAGCTAACAGTTATAGAATTTTTTTTATAAATATAAAGTCTTTTCATATTATTCTTAATCATCTGATAAGCTTCAACATAATAGAAGAAAGATAATTTGGCATCTCATCAAAATTCTATTTTAAATTTTTGATTTTTCAAAAAGATCAACTTCTCAAGAATTACCTATGGGACGGAACAGATAATATATTCGTAGTTAGAATGTTTGAGTTGGCATAACTGATCGTGTGTTTAATGTGAAAACCGTTTGATTAGCTGATAAATGTTTTTAGACAAGCAAATCTTGGATGTTAATATTATTAAAAATGTTGAAATGAAAGCTCTATCAATTGAAGAGGACGCAATAGAAATTGAGAACATAACAACAAACAGACCATTGTCTCTATCGATATACGGTACATAATTTATTAAAAGGCAAAAAAAAATATAGAGATATGTTTGTAGATATACGAATAATTAAAATAAAATAATCTGAAGGTTTGTTTTCTATTGACAAGTATTTTGAGAAACTAGCTGAATTATAAACACGATAACTATGATAAAAACAAATTGAATAGAAAAATGAAGTAAAGACTGAGAGGTAAATAAACTGTTAATTAATTCATTATTTTTAGTTCGATTTTTTAAATATAATTTTAAATCGCTTATAATATTTTCATTATTAGTTATACGTTGATTAATATTATTAAATTCATTTTCAACATATTTCTGAAATGAATTATTATCATCATTATGGGAATTGTCTTGTGGACGACCTGATGTTCGACTATCAGTAGTCATTACGGTAAAATCATCATTTTCATTATGTTTAACATTATTTGAATGACGTTCTCGTACAAATGATGGTGAAGAACCTCGTACCATTTCGGATGATGTAGCATTAACTGTTGAATTATTGCGACCTGTACCTGATGTATAAGATGGTGCATGATGTCGTTGTTGTGTTGAAATGATAAAATTACTTTCAAATTGAACAATATCATTGTAAGGATCCCACGGTCGTAAACTATACGTACACAATCAAAATAAAATAAAATAGATAGATAATGAACAAATTAGATTTTTTTTTATATCAGTTCTTACTCTGCATGTAAATATATCCATTCTTTTGATACAGGATCTAATGTGAACATATGTGGTTTCCATTCATTACCAGTTGCTTTTAATTCTTTTAACTGTTTTCGCTGTTGTTCTTCAACTAACGTTTTCTCTTCAGTAGCTAAATTTTGATCATTTTGTCTAATAGCGAATGTCACACGTTGCCAAAGTCTTTCAGAATAAAAAAAATTATAAATGACAGATTAAAACAAAATATATTGTCTTACTTTTCTGATTCATTATCATTTTGTTGTTCAATAGGTACCACAAAACGTTTTAAACGACTTTTTACTACCGATGAATTCACTTTCCAAAGAACAGAACGTATCTAAAGTAAATCATTTAAATATTATCTCTGACGTAAAAATGGATCAAATCATACTTACACCTGTTGCTTTATCAATAATATCAATTTGATCGTCCCAGTGTCCAATGATTGTTGCCAATGTTTCTTTGCCCAATTTAATTTTTCCTTCGACTTGATTTGTTAATTCATTTCCCCCAATAAAAGGCTGTTTTTATTTAAAAAAGAAAATTTCATAAGTTTTAAGAAGAATAAATCGGAAAACGATAAGATAGGTTAGTATAGATTATCAAACACCATTTCTTGTTATTAGGCTTATATAACTTACAATGTGTTTCTCTTAGAATGAATAAAAGGCATTATTTGGTGGAAACAAGTGATGTGTTTTATATCAGTTCATTAGCTTGCCTTTAATTTAAAATCAATTTCAGCTGAATAACGAGTTTTTTCACATGTAATTTGAACACGACCACCGAGTTCCATCTGTAGTTTTCCAATTAAAATTCCTTTAAAAAAGCTACTTGAAATTATATTTGATTTTAACTGAACAATATTCGTACCTTTACAGTTTGCATATGGCAATGTGATAGAATAGTCTTCTCCCAGATTAAGTAGTGTAAGACGAGCCGAACCATCAAGAATAGCGGATACCGAGTTGCCTAAAAAACGATAAAAATTTCATATTTAAACATGATCAATAATCTAATACAGAAATGTACCATAGAATTTTGAACGTGCCAAAATCGTTCCTTGTACGCAAAAACCTTCTTTTCGATTGGAGATATAAAAAGCGTTTACCGGTGGGTGATGAGAGATCTAAATGAGATTAATATTTAAATGCACTTGCATGAATAGATCTAAAGAAAGACTAAATTTTCGAAACAACACTGAGTTACACTATAAAAATATTTCGTGTTATTCTTCATTTCTGTAAAATTTAAAATCTAATTTATTTCTAATATTCTCAATTAATCCTCATGAATAACTTCAATATTTACAGTCAGGAAGTAAGTAGTCAATCAAAATGTTATACTAAAACTTCGAAGATCTTTCTTTCATAGAATAAACATAACGACACTCTACATCTATGAGAGACAGATAATTTCTTTCTATTTGATTTTCATTTTTCCTTAATTACAATAGACGACGAAGTATGATGCGTACAGCTTTTGGATCAAAATAAGATTTGATTTTCAACAATTTTTGTTTATATTCAACAACGTAACTACTAACAATTGTAAAGCAATCAAGCGGTCAATTTTATTCGATCATGTAATTATTTAAAAAATAAAAGGATAGAACTTTTTTTTGCGGTATACGTTTGATACTTTTTCAAGTAAACATAATTAAAAGTGTTTTTCGATATACATCTTCTCTTTTTTCCATACATATTATAAGCGACGAAAGTAACAGAGGCGCAACCAGAATTCTTGAGCGTCTAAGTCATTTCTCAAAGATCTAAGAAAAATCATTGGATCTAAATGGGTCGAACGATTCTTATTGGATCCTAAAATTTTCTCATTTATGATTATTCCTTTTCGCGGTTTATCTTTATAAAAGAATATGATGTCGAAGTAAAAGCATCTTTGGCTGCAAAAATTTTAAAAAAATTCTTGTATTGGAATTTAAATCCAAATCGGACTCGAAAAGCTAATTTTTGAGAAGATTTTTTGGACATTTTTTTAAAGCAAACTAAAAATGAAAAAAGTTTCAAGTTTTTTTGGAAAAATCTAATCTTTTCTTTTGATGATTTTATTATGCGAGAACAGATGGAAACATATAAAAACCTATGAATTCGATCTCAGACCTTTTCTGGGAGTTGAAGTGCTTCGATCAAGTTCATAAGTTTTGAAAGCGAGTGCTCCCGATTGATCGTGATTTAGAAAAAATCAGATCGTCTTGTTTCTGATGCACAATCGGAAAATGCAAAGAATAAGCAACAAGCAGATTATGCCAAATTGAAATTTCTGTTTGGCTTCCACGTTGTTTAAAAAGAATGTTGACTAGAGCTAGAATAATAAAAAGTGCTTTGAACCAAATAATAAAAAACCTTTTTCTATCAAACCATGGTCCACTACCGTGCCCGTCCTCCTTACTTGCACCAATGGGAAGTACATAACATTGTAACTAATTGAAACGAAATAAATGGTAATTATAAGAAGTCTAAAGGACTTGAAATGAACAATTCTATAAACGCTGTCATCTGAATAATTATTTCGAAGTACATTTACATACATAACAAGTACATTTTACGTTTAAAATGACTTAGCAGTCTGCGTGCTTTATTCTAATACAATTCTAAACGCAGAATTACATCTAAAATTCAGGTTTCAAGGTTTCAGAAACTTCGATAGAATTTTTGTATGCGGCAAATTAGATTAAATATTCTTTCAGATATACAATATATTCTAGGTATTATATGGTCGAGAAGAAAAAATTAAAAATAAAGATGGATCAATAGTTTTATTAATCAGGGTATATTAATTTTCGTCGTGCATATTCAACTCACTCAAAATGTAATCATTGGTATATAATAACTAACCTGCTCGGATATATAAAATGTTTTACTATCTGATTTTGAATGATGCCAATAACATCTATATAATTCACCTATTACTGGATTATAAGGCTTTTTTAAACCCTAAATAATGAAAACAGAAAGTTGATAAAGAAAGTAAATTGCTAATATTTTCTATATACCTTTGGTTTCTTATAAAACCCCGATAAATAAAATTTTATAACTGTCTTCATGCGTGTATATGGATCGGAATTGTGAATGGCTCTTAAAAATTGATGAAATATCGATATGAGAATTTCTTCATTTTTTTCGTGACTTACTCTTCAAGAAGATCTGCATGATGATAATAATCGGATAATTTTTCAAGAAATGATCGTGGTTCCAAAATGAATGTAGGAAGTACAACTTTAGATAGATCCATTCCAGGACGAACCTGAACAGAATATATAAATTATTTCTTCAGTTTTCTTATCATTGAATCTGAATATAAACCTGTTTAATGAGATGAAAAATAAGACTCTTATTTTCCTCGCCAACATCTTCTGTTTGTGCAATATTGCCAAGCTTTAACACAGCAAAAAAAATAATTAATACCTATACGAAAGTCTTTTTACAAAATCAAATACCTCTCCCATTTCCTCTGGTGGAGCTGGAATGTAAGTTGTTGCTTCAAGTTTATTTTCGCCTTCATCTATTTTTTCCAGCGATACTTCTGAATGACTTGAGCTGCCTGATGCTTTACTTTCAACACTAACTTCACTCAATCGATCACTATCATCCAAATCTAAACGAATCGACATTATGAAATCATCAGAATCACGCCTCTTAATACTTGCCATCTTTTGTTCCAATTCGATTAAATTCAAAGTCATTGTCGGAAAAACTCGTATTTAAATTGGCTGTCTCCGCTCCACTGACTGTTGTTGTTTGATAATTAAAGGCTGGATTCATTGTCAGAGCATCATTTGGTTTTTTCAATAAACTTCCACATTTAATTGTCATCTCGAGCCAATCAAGCCAAATAGTACCTTAAGCACGCATACGATAGATATAAAACGGATAAACACACAGAAATATACCTGTATTCTCATCTGAAGCACGGAATATAAGGTATGTCATCGGTAATGGAAATGTTAGAGCTCCAAATGCTTCTCCACTTGGACCCTTGGCAGACCAAATTGACTTTTCAAGTGGATGAAATATTTTGAAACAGAATCCGGGTTTTTTTGATGGTCGTTGGATAACTAAAAGCGTACAGATTCTTGATTATTTTTTCAGAAATAGAAAATAAAAGTCAGACTCTTACCTTGACAAGAACTAAGCACAACTGTACCCACCCAAACGCTATTCTAAATATATAAACATACAAGAGACGATTGTTGTTACCTAAATAAAAGATCATCTGATGAGCCTACTTTTTCCAGAGGACGTTTATACAGTAAAAGAAGTCCAGGTTTTAGTGTAACCCAAAGTTTAGTCCAGTCGCGTAACGTTCCACGCACTTTTAGCCAATCGGCCAAAACAATAACAGATGGATCTCGAAGTACAGCAGCTAATTCATTTGTAATACGTTTTTTTTCTATTAAATAATTTTGTTTTTGTGACTAAATGAAAAGAGAAAATATTATATACCTTAATCAATAATAAAATGAAACTATGTCAGACCTTATAAGAATGTCTTGTACGATCGATTGAACTACTCAGATCACTGTTTGATTCCAAAGAATCCAATGTATTACTGAGCTAAAGCGAAAGAAATAAAGTTCTGGAAGGATCTTGGCAGTATCACTCTATGTCGTACCCTATTCTTCTCATCATTGTTTAGTAATTTCATCGTAGATAAATCTAACAAGAAAAATCATAATGACATTGCTCAAATAACACTTTTTAATTCGTATCAAACAATTTTTTTACCTGATAGAAGTTCTTCTGATCTAACCTGTTCGTTCGCATTTGTATGGAGCGATGCAGAGCGTAGTCTTGTTTCACCAGCAAATGATTGTACGCTGTCTGAATGCGGTGGTAGTGAAATTTCATTTATTTCTTTATTTGATGATCCTTTTCTCGCAGATATAGTCTTTTTATTCTTAGCGATCATCTGTGCTGAAATGCATAAGATACGTGAAAGAAATGTCTTTATTTGTTCACTATAAATATGATCTACCTTGGCTGTTGTTTTGGTTAATCTATAGAAAAAAAAAAAAAAAAACGATTATTTTATAGAGTTTGAGTACTTGAATAAATATTGACCTGCTCTTCATTTTCAATCAGTTCTGAACTAGTGTTCATTGTCTTTGACGCCGATAAATTCTAAATAAATGTGAATTTCTGGTGAATTACTGTAGGTATTTATTTAGTATTTCTTTCTTCGATTACATGGTCTTTTGGCAACGAAATGTTATTTTTATCATCATCGAAAAAAATTGATGATTGACAACAAGATAAAATGTTTGATTCCTGTTTTTTTCGTTGCCACAATTTTATCATCATTTTACGTACTATCCCGAAGAAACTATTCTTTTTTGTTGTTCTTCTTCTAATCTCATTCTTCTTAAGTACGACGTGTTATTTCCTGATGTTTCCCTCGTTCTGTTTCTGTTTTTACTTAATCACATTTTTTACTTTTTGTTCATCAGTCGGGTTTTTTTTTTTTGTTATTGTAATGCTACATTTTGCACAAGTATCTGTTAAAGTATAAGATGCTACGTATTTTTCAATTACATTATTATTTTTCTTTTTTTACACTCATCCTCGTTTCTCTTTATTATTTATTTATCGTTGTTTATAACAGTTTTTGTTCATCACCTTGAAGATGTCACATTAATGTCGGCTAAACGTCATTCAATATTTGCATTACACAATTATTATCAATTAAAAATCATACGTTAAACGGTAAAACAGTATAGTCTCATAAATATTAAGAGTAGTTCAGACACATGACAAAGGGAACGCTCACGTATATTAAATGGTTGGACAAGTAATCAACCTGTTGTACCTAAATGCGATACTAAAAACTCTTATTTCTAACACAGATTGCAAGAATTGGTTGGTCATCAGAAATATACTTTTGTATGTATCTTACATATAGACTCTAATGGAAGAATACGGATCATATGTATTCATGTAAATTCCATAAATACATATTAAACATGCATACGCATATACATACTAAATGATAGCAATGAATAGACTTCGAAATTTTACTTGGTACAACACCCACACCTATGATCATCTATGTGTGTATATTTATGAAGGCTTCCTACTTGTGAATGCCAGTGTATGTGGTGAGTGCAGAATTAAGGTGAGATGGTGCATGTATGGCGAGTGTAGAATTAAGGTGAATCAGTGCATAATAGTTTAATCTTGAGTTTATTGTGCGACATGCTTCTTAAATCTCAAGTACTCATAAACATGGATAAATATATGAAGAGAGAGATGCATGCAACTATATATATATGTAGAATGTAGAGACAGTTAAGATGGTTGCATTTTGAATCCGTATTATGATATCCCTCTAGTGCACCGAGCTCTATAGATTGTGCAATTTAAGCTTTTGATATATGTAAAAGTTTTAAACCTTCAAGGGTATACGTGTGCAATAACTCACGGGTTGGATAAGTTTTGGCGGAGGGGTGAAATTTTTAAAAATTGAAAAAATCGATTTTCCCAGCTATTTTGCACCTGGTGCTAAAAGTATTTCTTGCGCAGTCCGCCGCATTAATGAAGCATTTTGGAAAGTTTATGTCAATGAAAAAGTTGTTCATTGCATTCATCTCTACCGGATGACATATTTTGTTTTTAGTGCCGACCGCGTAGATACAAAGTTTTAGGTCATAAACTAGATCCGAGTCTAACATTTTTTGAAAAGTAATAAAACTTTTAAAAGTTTAGCTTCACTTTATCTCCCTTTTGCATTAAATAAATATGTACCTATATAATTTTGCATTGTGAACATTTTCTGTTCCAAATATCTTGCCGTAGAATCCTTTCCTGTACAACCGTGTTGGGAGGGCTATCGGAAAACCCGTGAACATCTTATATTATAGGTATACTACGAGCTATAAACTTTTCAATATTAATTAATATCTTCTATATGAAATCGACCAAGACGGATTCAATGGATGTACGTCCAAGATATTCACTAGATTTCCAGAAAACCTCCGCCTTTATGATCTTCAGCAAAGAGTACAAGGTTCAAAAATCCAACCACAACTGTGCATTAAAGGTCTTCTGATAGATTTCCTATGAAAACCTCTTTTCCGGCTTCAAAACCTACTAACATCGGAAAAGGTTTTCTGGAAATCTCATAGAAAGTCTCTGGAAATCTAGTGAATATCTTGGACGTACATCCATTGAATCCGTCTTGGTCGATTTCATATAGAAGATATTAATTAATATTGAAAAGTTTATAGCTCGTAGT